AACTGGTTCGTGCATTGAATGTCCATTGTCATCTTAGACTTTCTTTTAGACGGCCCGTTATAGCCTTGACACTTTAGCAGCCTCTCCCCAGCGTCCTACCCAGCGCTACCCGGCTTCATCGGATTGACCGAAACGAAAAGGTTTCGCCCATTTCACTTCAATTTCAAGAATGGAGGAGGACTGTTCCGTGAACCTTCGACAGTAGAGGCGTCGGTGGCGTAGGTGCCATCATACACATACACTTGGCCATAAACATCGATTTGCACGAAACCTTGACGAGAGCTCGACAAGCAAGAAGATTGACAAGATGCGGCTCAACCCCAGCTTCAACAATCCTAGATACGCAACAGCATCGAGCTGCGAAGAAGAGAAGCCGAGAACGTTCTGTAGGTGTGGAGAGGATCTTCGCAGAAGGCCTTACCTGCTCCAAGGTCATCGTCGGTTATTAGAATGCCAAGATTGGCCCAAAAGGACTGCCTAAGAGCCCCGCATCGGAGCTCATGGAATGGAATGGAAGTAGCAGAGGCTGTGCGAGTTTATCATGTTGACCCACACCATCCATGGTGACTCGTAGTTCTAAAGACCTCTCATTTACGATGAACATGGGCGTCACCTCGTAGACAGTTCCATAGAGGAATAAACCACATTGTCTTCAATAGGATGCTTTACCTGACTGACATCGCTGTTGATTTGAAGTTTCAAGCGAGATCAGACCATCGCTCTCCCCGCTAGGTTCTGTTTTTCAGTGCGTGGAGCTCAAGCTGGTAAACCAGCAGGGGATCGCCCGAGCTGCAGGCAATGAACAGCAGTTTTTTTCGAAGCCGTCGAGGCTTGTAAGAGCATTCGCAAAATCCGTCAGAGCTTTGTCAATTATATGACCAAATCGACATTCCTTCGTTGTTCTGACCGAACAGTTACTGCGACTTAAAGGGTATTGAAGAAAGTCATCTACGTTTTATACTCAACTAAGACTGGCTCTGCTCTTCACGCAGAGCTCCCCCAATGCAAAGCGCCCGTTCCGCGGACAACTGGCAAGATTGTGTTGCTGCATAGGAGGGAGGTCCAGATGATATTGGTGTTTACCGCCTATTCTGCCTGCTGTCTGTGTTTTACAGACTATTCACTAGCAGCCTCCTCAACAGATTTGGCAAATTATTGGATGAAGGACAGCCATGCGAGCAAGCAGGGTTTCGAGGAGGGTTAGTACAATCGATCACATCCACGCCGTTACGACTCACCGAAGTATTGCGAGAGTACGAAATGTCTTTGTGTCTTACGTTCATCGAATAGAAGAAAGCCTTTTATACCGTCGAGGTAAGCGTGCTTGAAGGCTGCTGCTTATATCATCTCCGCTTTGCAGATGGCATCGTGCTCATAACACAAAACGCCGAGCAAGTCGAAAAAGTGCTAGAAAAAAATTTGACATTGGCTATGATCTCACTTTTTCGACACTGCGGTCCCTTCTGCTTTAACATACGCTTCAGAGACTTGTACCCTCAGAAAGCAGGTTAAGCATGCAGTCAGCTTCATTCAGCGCGCTGTGGAAAGGACGATGCTCGGAAATACATTATTTATGCAACAAAAGGCAGTCTGCAGTGCCGAACTCGGTCAACGAATGAAAATCATGGGTACCGTTGCTTACGCCAAGGATTCGAAGTTCAGGCGGGCTGGACATGTAGCGCGATATCGTTATGACCTTTGGAGCAGATCGGTTACTGGCAGGATCCCTCGGGATGTCAAGCGATGTCTAGGACGGCTGCCAGCGCGATAGTTATACTTCTTCACGAATATTCTGGTTGGAAGTAGTGCTATAACTGGTATCCCTCGACAAGGACCATCCGCTGGAACACTCTGGCGTGCGATCGGCCCGACGTCCTCTCGTGAAGATCGATGACCAGCGGGATGGCAAGCGGTATGTAATTCACAGCACGCAGTAGCGTATGCAAGGCCGAAGGTCGTCAGTTACCCGACTGATACATGTCTTGGTGCTGGAGTACTCGTTTTTAGTGTCCACTGATAGCATAGTTCGAAAATCTCACTTCACTACATGTGTTTCATGACAGGTCAGTCACTCTACTGCAGAATCAGCTTCGTAGTGGCTTAATCAAGCTACGACGCGATATCTAACATCATTCGAATAAACGAACTGCTATGACGAAGAAACATAAATGCCATGATGAGTTGCGATTACGATAAATGTAGTAATGATGTGGAAAGTCCACTACAAATAAGGTTAGTATTTTCAGAAGGAAGCTCAAGAGGTAACCTCCATATCAGCGCTAGCACTGACTACAGCAATGAAACGCCCAACAACGATTAAGCCTCCCCTTAACAATTACTATTATACCTCTGCTTACGATGGGTTTTCTGATAACTACCACATGTATCGTATACACAGGATCTTTTACTTTTGGTCACACATGCTGAAAAGCCCTAAATGCTACAGACCGACAAACATGTCAGTACACCCAAATTATTGTTCTATGTATAAGAATCACAACTTCTGCATTTTCTTGACCTTCCCAAGTTGCTTAGGGAACCTTGTCACTGTTGTGTTGTGTTGTTCCCCCACCGTTTGGGCATTCTTTCTAGATTCGCTTCCATTGCCTTCATTAAATGTCCGCTGTCAAGCGACGGCTTTGGACCGTGACTAAGACCATCTTGATGACTTTCGCATGCAAACATTTGAGACAATGCTTACGCTTTTTTACTGAGGCTGAGTTCGCTCTCCGTGGATTATTGAAGTTGCGTCTAGCTTCGCCTGCCGATTTTGTATTCGTGAAGAGTAAAATCATGTTTATCCGTATAATTACCTACTCAACGTTAAGTAATTATGCAATAGTGAGAAATCCACAGTTTGAAATTGAAGTGCAGACGCGCAGATTGTGATGTTACTGATTGCCAATCTTTCCTTAACTTTACGTTCGATGTCATCTTCATAAGAGCAGCATCATACCATCATCTTCTGAGATTGTAGCAGTGAGGTGATGACAGAATTTCCAAACATCTACGCAAAGAGATCAACCCTACCATCGAAGCCACCGATAGATCGATTGCTTCTCGAGAAGGAAAAGTTTGCGAATTCAGATCCGTTCGAGAAGAAATTTTGCAAAATGAGGGAATAACGAGCTTATCAACTTTCTACCGATTACGCTGGAGCTTAAAAGCCCAACCTTGGTTGGGTTAGCTTGCTGGTTACTGTAGGTACAATAATGAAATTACTCTGCGAACTGCTGTTTTAGCAAAAAAAACTTATGTCCCAAATAACATCAGAAGAGTCGACCAGTTACGAGAGCGAGAAATGCACACAATACCATTTCTTGGCATCTGACTTCCTATGGGAGATGGTCAAGCTAGCTGAATCTAAGAAATATTTTGAGAAAGCCCACGTCGCTGCTTTTAGGAAGAAAGAAGAAGAAGAAGGCGCTATACCAAACCCTTGCCGTCAGAACATACTGCCACCGGATCGCACTACTAAATGTAGGCGATTCACAGACGCAAGTCGCTTGCGCGGCTCCTGGCCCTAGGAGATGGTCAACCCGTTACCAAATGCGGTAGACACTCCTCGATTGAACTTACTTTACTACTGCTTGCTCTAGAAATACATGTTTATACTTCGCCTTGAGCATCTTACATTCATGACTTCATGTTTTGTTTATAACCTTATGAGATTGACCCGCGTAAAAGCTTGTTCATGTTTCCAAGCTTTTCATTCTTATAGACCACTCTAGTATTCTCTTTTATAGCATAACTTCACTCCGCTTTACCCTAATGCTAAAGAAGATTATTCCGAACTCCTGTATAAGGCGTTTCTTTCATAGCTTCAAACTTTGCAGTAAGCCTTTAAAATTGTATGTATTATATTTGTTATATCACCAACGAGAATAATTTCCTCCTCAGTACCATGGATAACTGTGTGATAGTCATTGTATGATGAAACTGATGGCAGTTTTTTCATCCTTCTCTCCCGCCGTCTTTATCAGAATCCCACTTCGTTCCTCGCTCCGCTCCTCAAAAAGTCGCTTATTTGTGCAGTCACGCAGTCAGTTATTTCGAAGCTGCCTTTTCTTGCCGATTACAGCTCTGCCTTAGTAAGCCTAAACTTCACGTTCCGTCTGGACAGCTATGGGCGGCCACTTATTTGTAGTTCCTTCGTAAGAACGCTCACTCTGATTTCCTAGGCTCTTTCAATAAGTGCGTGGATTTCACTTAGTTTAGCCATGGCGTACTTCGTGTCAGTCTTAACAGAGGCATAGTCCTTGGAAGACCATGGCATGGAACTGTAAAGCTGTCTTATGAACATGCACTTATAAAAAAATCAAAGCATCAGTTGAAGGGCACCATATGAGTCTCACTACATTTGCTTTCTCAACCAACTGCTCTTGGTTAGGCACGACTATGTTTGCAAGCTGAATGTTCCGCTCAACTTCTTGCGCAGTCATTCTTGAGAGCGTTTATTCCTCATTCCTGGCAGATGAAGTTGCAGTTGGCGTGCTCTCATTATTTTGAAGGCACACATATGGATACAAGATAGCTAGTTGTATTATTGAATTAATGCATGTCCATAAATATGGATATATACCGCATTATGGGCGTGGGCGTTGGTTCAAGTTTTGGTTCACAATCACAACAGCCTCGACTCTCAACCAGATAGCGTTTCCTCTTTTTTATTTGCAGCTTCCATTTCCTACTTGCTATGATTCTGATCTTTTCTAGTGTCTTCTCGTGATGCGTGAGAGCACATCAATGACATATCAATATCTTTTGTGTCCTAAAAGAAGCTGTAGTCTGCCATAGCAATCCTGAAGCATTTTGAGTCAAGCAATCACTGAACAAGTAGTATCCAAGCTGTGCGTCAATATTCTTCGCTGCAAGATAATTCAAATGTTTTTTAATGACTCCAAGCAGTCTACGTTGGAATTTGATTCCTGTGGAGAGCCTCATTTTTCGAGCGCAGATGCCAGCGTTCAGCAAACATTCTGACCTCTAACCACTGCTCCGCGACCAGCGATCGAAGTCCAGCTTGGTTTCTGATCTAGATCAGGTGGAATAACATAGTGGAATGTTACAAATATCTAACTCGCCTAGATTATTTGATGCCAAAGCTATGCCATTTCTCGCTGACTTTCAACAATGATAAGCATCAGAGCTCCCCCAAATTTCGTTTCGAATTGTCAGTAAATCAAATCGAATCAATCCGCAGTAATTCGAGAAGATCGTTTTCGACGAGAGGGCGTAAACGAACTGAATAAATACCTTTTACCCTGCACTTTTGCATGTCTCGACGGTGCAGCGCTTGATTGGAGAAATACAGCTTAAAATCTTCTTGTGAAGCAAGCGGTTTTACCAGCAATGATCCAAGCAGCACCGGAACATGGCGAAAGTTATTTCACCTGAGCAGCTTTTGCACGTCACCACTGGTTTGCTGCCACTAAGGAGAAACATTAAAAGTAAAAAGGATGCAAGTATAAATATGTAAATCGTCGAGATCAAGAATACTGCTGCCACGCGTTAGAACCATAATGTCGAAACAAACTTTATTGGCGCCTCAAACTTGAGTAATTAATCATCGGTAACAAACCACAATCATTGCGAATATTTGGAAGAGATTTCAACCGTTAAAAGATATAAAGGAAGCGCCATAGAGAACTGTAAGGAAATAATCAATGAGTACCTTCACAAGGAATTTCGATCGATGAATGAAAACAAAGGTTGAAGAAAAGAGGCCCAATGTAGAACGGTGCCCTGGGCGGGGTGTCGCGGCAGTATATACCCACGTTCTTTGCCCAAACCGATATTTGATATCCTGATGAGGAAGATCATAAGGCAGCGACTGCAATAACAACCGCGATAAAAAGTTACAACTTGTGGTTATTATCAGAACACGACTTCCTATCATTCAATCTGCTGGCAATCCTCTATCACTTTCGTCGCCCACCGTGAAGGTGGCCAACTTAAAACTGTATCTTGCAGCACCGCGGGTATTGTTGCCGCGAATGGGATACGGTTTGAACCTTAATGGCTTTTCTTTAGTCTGCACGTTCTGACCCAAAGTGAACCAAATCCCGCCCTGTTCTTCTGCCATATCTAGGATTTGTAGCCCACCAACAAAATTCTCGTCCGCGCGCACTTGCAGAGATATTGTAGAGAAGTCAGATCATTTTTGCCAAATCCGATTCCCATTCCACAATTTCCTATTTTTACAAATATCTAATTCGTCAACACACTGGAGGTGTGACACTGTTAAGAAGTCGCTTCACACCAGGCGTCCCACCCCAGAGTGATTTGAAATTTTGCTTCGCGGCATATTAGATACTACCGAATCACCTTCTAAATTTGTCCTATATACCGCTTTTGTTCTTCCACCAGAGAGAGGAAAGCAGGATCGACACTGCTTCCTATGTGCCCAAAACATTTTTCAATCTGTACAGCCTCATCATTCACTGAGCAGGAACAGAGTGAAACGTCCTTCCCACTCATCATTGGCACAATGAAACGTGGCACTATTCTATATCTGCTTCTAGAATTTAAAACGTCAGACAATAAATAATTAGGTTTCAGTTTACCTCATGCTGTAGAACTATTCCTTGAGACTTCGTTGATACACCGAAGTTGTTGTCCCTCACGCTGTTCGCGCAGTAAAATCTGAGGGGATTGTGTTGACAATGATGTTAGATGCAATTTGACTGATTCCAACTCCAAGCCCATCTTTGATTCGGAATGTCAGTGAGTAAGCGATCTCGTTTGCTCTGCGTCATTTGCGCTCTTATCACTGGGTACTTCGTTGCAGTGGTTGGATAGATTATCATGAAAGACAAATCAGTCCTCACAGACAGGGCAGGAAACGCGTCTACTGTGCCCCCTCCTGTACCCTTCCTCATTTCAATTTATTTCATCTCGGTTGCATTTGCGCAGGTCGAAAGGTGGTCATATGCCTAACAAGGTTCTACGCAGCACCACTGTGTCGAGGATGTCATAGAAAACCTTTTCTTTGCCTTTTGGTACATCTTCTACAACACACAAACAAATCAATGCAAAAACGTCGGCAATAAAACGTATTTTGCATATTCGTACATCTGTAGTTTTTAGTTAGTGTGTTCGATCAGTTTAAAATTCTTTTGCCTAAGTTTCTCACCGTGAGAATTATAGAATAGCCACAAAGAATTTGCAATGCAATCTAGGAGGATAGGAGAGATTCCGTATCAATGTGAAACCTGCTACCATACGGATTTTGCAAAACAATGATAAATCTAGCTGCGAATCAATTTGGTAATACTCATAAAATAAATGAATAAAAATGTGCAAAACCCATGCAATAGTAGCAAAACACAACAGATGAGAACCGTTCCATGATGCCTTCCAGTTATGCCAGTGATATAAAGAGAATACATACATTACAGTTTCAAAGTTAGGGGACTAGTGCACGTAGTGTGGTAAGGAGGATAGGCAGTCGGATGAGATAGAACTTAGATGTATTCTGGACTTGTATACTCACACATGCTTCTTCTAGTTGCCGAGCGGACCGTGATCATGTCTTTTTTGATAAGACAAACAAGATCTCTTTCTTCTTTCGGGATCATGAAATCAGGACAGGTTTTCCGCCTTTCGGAATCATGAGATCAGTACATGAGTCAATGCTTTAACAGTCACAGCATCTAAGGAAGTTGCTAGATCGATGAATGGAGGAGGCAAATCGCCTTTTTGTTTTTGAAGTAAAGATAGATTGTTCACAAAACTTCACTTTGAAAAAAACCACATTGACACACGAACACGAGAGGAGTAGAGTAGCTGGGGGTTGCTCCTCTGTTCCTTTCGCGTTGAATTCAAACAACTTTGATCAAAAGATGTGCTTTTTCTCTTGGAAAACAGCTTCCGTAGGGATAAACAGTCGTGACGAGGAAGAACACGAAAGTATGGCGAATTAATGGGAGCCATTGAACAGGAAGGAGGACTGGGAAAGTAGACGAGTAGTAGATGATTCCGGTAGGGACAAACACTCTAACATCAAATGGAGAAGGTACAAGAAGTTCAATAGGAAGAATTTTGGCCGACTACCTTCAAAGTGCCAAAATTGATGCACTCAGCACCGCGCACGCACGAGAAATGTTGGTATTCGTGAATGCGATCCTATCCACTGCAATCGTTCACACCATTTAGTTGTACCATTGCGGGAAAAGTGGTAAAAAAGCTCATGATGCTCAATTTCTACCAAGTTCATTTGCTCAATATCTATTTCATCTATACATCTATTTTCCACCACTCTGTGCATGTACTGTCAACAAAAACGACACCTTAATTCAGCGTTCTGACAGACCCTATAAAGTTATTTACTCTTTGCATCTGGAACCAATTGTCATTTGCAGGTAGCCGTCAAGGTAAACAAGGCCAGCGAAGTGACGAAAAAAATTATTTCCGAAATCTGTAAAGAGGCGCGGATCATGCGACGGTACCGTCACCCTAATGTTGTGAAGTTTTTTGGAGTTGCCATCGAACATGTGAGTTTTCGCTGAACCAATGTTGGAACTTTGTTCACCAAGGTGGCTAAAAGGCAAAGTTGTGAGGCGTATAGCCTGCAAAGACAATGTACACACACTATTTGGTTTCTCCACTCACATTTAACAGAAAACGCTATCACCGCGCAATCAAGGTCGCTGTTTAACATACGCCCGAAATCGTATTTGCCGCAGTGAGGGAACCAAAGCTACTATGCTTCCCACAAGTTTCACTGAGACCTATAACTATACATGAATACACATGAAGCCCAAAGATGGTTCTGGATTTCTGCTTTCAAAAACCCGAACAAATACATATTCTTCACTTACCGCAATATTTTGACGGGTAGAACGTTATACAGCAATACGTGGAATATGTAAGTGGGGCGGAAACCAACTGACGTTCTATCAGTACTTGATTTACTCATTCTGCTTTGCTCAAAACAATGCAGTACTCACAGTTTCCGAAACTTTTCATTAAAAGAAACTAACTGACAGGCATGACCATACCCTTGACCAACCTTGGCGGCCAGTGGCTGTCGTGGCAACTGCAATCACAATCATTCGAGGGAAACCTTTCTTTTGGTCTTTTCCCAATAAATTCACTGCTGTGTTGTACGGTAACTCGTTGAGTATAGCAAGGCAGAGGTTACGGGCTTTGCTCTACCAACTGAGAAGAAACTGCTGGTGATTTTTGAGTTTGGAGGTACACAAAACATTACTTTTGCTGGGAGAGACCAATTTCCTACTGGGCTTTGCTCTCTATCCTGGCTCTTTCAAGGAAAGTTTGGAATCCAACCTTGGCCCTCATACATGCAAGATGTCTTGTTCGAGGATACTATAGAGCATTTCTGGATCCTGGTTTTTTGATCAAGGTGTTCCTAACCAGCCCCAGCCCTTGCATTTGCATGGGAGACTGGAACATAACCTCTCTGTTTTGGTTTCGTCAGACTTTGCGTTCAAATTCTGTAGGCAAAGAATCAGGAGCAATCTTTCTGCGACCCCTAGAGAAGGTCAGATCATAGTTAGCCAATCAGAGTGTCATTTGTCCTGACTATAAAGATAGAAAAAGCTCAACTTGAAGTTCAGGTAAGAGGGCCCAAGTGGAAAGCTTTTCCCTCACTCCTGAACATACAACACAACAACAGGGCCGCCAAGAAATTCTCCTTTACATTCTTGAGAACAAGAGCAAATCATTCCATTGTTCGAGTCTGAAAAACGGAGGTGAAAGTCTACGTACCGCTTCGAGGCAGAGTAAACTATCTTCGGACAAAGGTTCAACGACAAAGGGTACCTGAATATTGACATCCAAACATGTAAAGCTTACTGGATTTTAGATGCGATACCTATAATGTTAGTGAACGCACACCACCAAGATTAAGTAGCGCGGTAAGAGACGTTTTTTATTTCTCTCCCTGTAACTTATTATTTTCCTCCTTATGACTTGCTATCCACATTGGGAGGGCTCGACTTGATTTTATGGAAGGAGTTATGGGAAGGATTTCGTAGAGGATTTAGGTATAATACAGAGTTGAAAGTGACCGACAGAGTTCACATATCAGAATAATAGGCCGTATATTTATACTATAGGAGATGCTAATAGAAAATAAACGTATTGGAAGATAACCATTGGAAATCTCTAAAAAATCGGTGCCCTGTCTGTCATTCAGTTCCTCCAATAATCAGGTAAAAAGGAGCCCCTTCGCTGATCCTTAAGGACCTGAGGGATTGAAGGCTGAGTCTTGGGATATTGATCAATCCCGTGCGAGGAGTGCACCCCCGCACTCAACTTTCATTCAGGATCGTAGTGACGTATTGGATGCGTATGTAGCCTACATATACAATGGATTGCGGTGACCAGCCGATGTACAAGTCAGTGCTCCTATCCAACCAGAGGAGTCTGGTACCGATTAATCGACCTCGTAGATATGGAAGGCTTGGTTGGCTAATACGGAAATCGGTCTGGGATTTGAACACGTTGCCCTACGTGCGCCATTTGCCACTGCAACACCTCCGCCCTCACTTAAGGGNTAGGAAAACTTTGAGGAAATTATGCATATCGTGTAGAATTGCAATCCATATCTCTCTATACATAAAGTGGTAAATTTGCGCGTCCGTTTGTATGCCCGTTTGTGCGTCCTTCCAAAAGTCACGTAGAGTATTAATGTCACGTGAGCGCGGTGAGGAAGCAGTTATGAAATGGGAAGTCGTGAGTAAGCGATAGTGGGCATGCCACATGATTGAATAATAAAGGAGAACTGCGAGCAATTCTTCAAATTTCATTTTCCATCGATTTAGTTAGCAAACCAATTACGGCTACCTTTGAATCAACTCATAGCGTGTTCAATAATAGTCATTGCTGGTCTTGGCAGCTGAAATAGGGCTCGAGATGCTCACTCATTCCTATTGCAGGGACAGCTATGGAACTGTGTTGGATCACCTTGAGCATATTCTAATTGTACCTGCCATCGTGTCAAGTCTCAAAGTTTTGCGTAGAAATAAGACGTTCGGGTCTCCATCGACTTTGATGGATTCTAGGCAAAAAATGTCGTCATAAAGGGAGATGTAGAAAGAAATAACAGATAGCTGAACAAGAGATAAATATATGCTCTGCGATAACTTCGGAGAGTATTGCAGGAACCGGTAATGTTAGTGATGGAAATGGTGAGCGGTGGATCACTGGATGTTCACTTACAGAAAGAAGCTGCGCGTATAACAAGACGAGACCGGGTCAGCCTAATCTATAAGTAAAGAATCTATGATCTATGAAAAGGCACTCGAAAACGAGTTACAATCTTCCTTTCAGCTCCGTTATTCTATCGGTGCTGCCAAGGGCTTGGAGTATTTACACGAGAACGATTGCCTGCATCGAGATGTGGCAGCGAGGTTGTAGTTCAGTATTATAATGATTCTCATTCTAAAGCCACTTCTTCGCACTGTTATCGCAGAACCACAACGTTTATAAACCGTTGACTTCTTTTAAATGGCATTACATTGACAGTTTTTGGATGTTCCGAAATCTACTAGATCAAGCATGGCTGAGTAACACCTTTAGCGATATGATACTCTACAAAAAAAGTATCAAGACAAGCAGTGTACGGACCATACTTTGTTTTTGTTTTTAAGTTTTCCATGGGTGCATTTCAAAAGAATCTAAAGCTCAAGTCATCCCCGTACGTGATTCTACAATCTCAATATTTTGTCAATCTCATTGTATGGATTCGCACACGTAGTACGTAGTATGCTAGCAAATCGCTGCAAGTTGCAGATGGGTTGCGCAGCACTTTTTAATTCGTGTAACACAGAAAGAAGGCTTGAAGTATATCCATGAACTTTCGACCAGCGTTCCCTCTTCAGATAAACTGAAGAAGTACTGCGAACCGTTAGGACCTTGCCCCACCGCAGGCGGTTCTCCTCCATATAATTTGCTCACCCACTCCTCAGCCATGCTCTCTGTTTACCATTGCCTCCGCTGCTCGGAGGCGGAATAATATATGGTGCTCTTTGCACCACCAAAACCACAGCATGCTCCACCTCCTGTGCGGAGTTTGCTTAACTCACGTATGATCTTTTCTTCATGCCCCATGCTCCACCCATTCCGAACTCAAAAGTTTTATCTGGGCTTGACGGGGCCAAGATCATTTCCAAACTAGGACTATTTCGCAATTGTAGATGATCCCACTGGCCAGGTTGGGAGTGAACGCAGAAACTGTAAAAGGATTCATAGTAGCAAGGGTATATGTGTCAGGAACGGAGGAGTAGAGAGAGAGCTGGCCACAGCCCATTACCTGACAGTCTGGAGCAACTCCTTCGCGAAAAGAAAAACTCCGAAGAGAACCTACAGAGTGGAGAGAAGAAACAAAAATAGATCACGTATTTGTAGGGAAATCATCCTCAAAATGTAAAGGACATAAAAATACTGCTCGGCGAAGACACAGCTCCACAGCATAGGGCTCTGTTAGCAGGCATGGTCATAATGCTTCCGAAATCAAGGACAGGAGCGGAATTAGAGAATCGATTGGTGGAAATTGAGCCAAAAAAAGGTCAAGACAAGCCTGGAGGCAGGGCTCCCAAATTCTAAAGGTCGCTCCAGAACACCTGGAGCAATGCCGCAGAAGTTTTAAACTATGAGGTACAAATCGTGAGGAGGCAGAAGAAGCGTTCTACAAGCGCCAGCGCGGAGAACGCAAGCTTCAAAAGACGAGCTGCTTATAGCACTTTCAAGAGGCTTGCTAAGGGTGCTGCAGCAAGTTCAACGAACATGGAAGTGGACGCCTTTTATGAGAAACTCAATAGTCAAAAGTAGAGAAGGTCGTCTTCCGGCTGGCGAATGGCGACAGACGTAAGGCATGGGGCTGCTCAGGACGTCGGGGTGGAGAAACCCATTGTGGGCAAAATTGAGTCAATCCTGAGAAGACTAGCCAGGTCAGGCGTTGGTGGAAAGAGCGCTCGACAAGTTCCCAAAAAAAAGAGTTCGCTTGTAAGAGCAGTGCCTAATTAAAGGCAGCAGCTGGTTATATTGAACTCGTGTCAGATGATGAGGTGGGCAGAGCAATAGGAAAGATGAAGGGTGGGATGGCAACTAGCCGCCCAGATGAGATACTGATCGAGGCATGGAAGTCGCAGCATGGAGTAGCAGCGCAATCGTGCCCATCATCAGGCAGAAAGCTCACGTGGTTGAGTGCTCAAACCACGGAAGGATCAGATTACTTTTCACACGATGGAACTGTACAAGCGATTGGTCGGCTCAAGATTGAATGGAATGGCACCGATTTCACAGGAGCAGTTCGGACGACAACGGATGTCAGCTCCATAGCGAGACAAGTGACAGAGAAGTGTCGAGGGAAGCGTTAACCATGCTATCTGCTTTTTGTTTCTTGGAAAACGCATTCAACCGTCTAACGCGACACTTTCTCTGGAGAGTACTTCGAAAAAGAAACGATCTAGGATTCATGATCTCTCTTGTCAAGAACATGTAGTACGGCTACACGACAACAACACGCACTCCACGCGGTCTA